TACGATTGTGAGTGTGATTATGAGTATGAATATCACACATACTGTGATTTGAAATAGGTTGCTTTATTTTTTTTGATAAAAATACTACATCTAAGGCCCTGTTTGCATGAGATAGGGTGGCCCTAGGTATAGAGCCAAACTCTTTTGTTTTCAATCCTCCAGGGAAAAGAAAACAAAGGAGTTAGCCCTACCACTTAGGGGGACCCTATCTCATGTAAACAGGGTCTACTACCATGATGCGATAAGTACACGTACCTTTGCAGCCTCGATTGCGAAATTGATAACATCTTTCATCTGTTTGAACGCAATCGTCTCGTTTCCTCCCATTAAAACAACGATTCGTACCATGTATTTTAGTAAAGCATCCAAGGTCTAGTAGAGTGTAATGATAAATAGACAAAGCATATTATGAATCAGTCAAATCGAGTAGTCAGACATGAAGGCTATCACATAACATGCTTCCCCCCCCGAATCAGTCGACGATGCCCCACGCAACGCAATGGATATCCAAAATATTAAAATACGCACCTTTGTGTTGTTACTCAGGTATTCCTCTTTCAAAGGTATTTCTGGGGGCAAAACCTGCATGGGGAAAGATATATGTGAATTTAATCTTAAAGAATAAGACATACTCCTTCTAATATTGCATCCTATGTGAAGGTAATATAAAGTAACGCCTGAAACAGTTTGAACTTCTTTAGAAAATTAACCAATAGTATAAATGGTAAATGTGAAAAATAAAGAAACGTTTAATTTAACATTGTTTTATTTCAAAATGGAGCCACAGGAAGATAAAACCCTCGATTTTCAACAGGAACCAATTATTCTCATGGTTCAACAGCGCTGTAATGGTCCTTCACGCAGCATTGGTCTGCATTCTGTGTGTTTACATGAGAGTAAATAGCTTTGTTACTGCTATTATTGCATCAAGTAAATCGTTAATATTATTGTCTTTTAATACACAATACATTATTTTGATGAAACTACCTTAAAGTTTCCGAAAAGCCTATAAAAGAGTAAAGTTACAGCATCGGAACTCGACTAAAATATAATAGTACTTTTGAGGCTTTGTTTCACAGGTAAATATTATCAAGTCGTTGTTTGATCGATGTYTGTCTGATAATGTACACTCTTTTATCTTCGTTTACATTTTTGCAACATTTAAAGGGTCAAAAGTACCACCGGTTAGGTTGTAAAAACATGCAGCAGTGTTTTCAAAACACCACTTGCGCTTTGCAGTCCTTTGTGTCGATGATGGATGCAAAATATTGWGGCATTAGCATAAGGCTTTCTTTAAATATTGGTCTTAGTATTAAATCAAGGACGCCACACAAACTTTACTCATGACTCAAACTGTACTTTACTTCTAAACAATGGTTTGAGAATGTCCATAGATTCACACCCAATAAACACATCTAATAAGTTAAGAAGTCAGATACTATTAGCTATGTGAATAAAGCTTTTAGTCTTTAGGCGTTTATTAGAAGTTTTACACTTACTTGGAATAAATACTCTTTAGTATCTTTAGGATTTACCATGATATCTATATTCACAAGAGGTGATTCGACGAAGATTTCGCTCAGAAAACGTGCCAGTTCGTCAGCCCAATGCCACGAGCCACTCCAACCTGAATCTAGGACAGGCCATTTTCCCAGACGGCGAAGAAACTGTTGGAAATCTTGCAAAGAATGCTGTTCAATGGCGTTCTCATTCATGCATGAGAAATAATAGTTTTTTACCTTGAACAACGGGCTATTGGTGGGGTATTGACCRAGGTCTTCAATCAGAAAACGGAGTTTTTTGTAGTTCTTGTTGGAGAGCTCAAACATGCTTCCATATTCGTTTTCTCCTTGTGCAATGGGATTATTCTTCACCCATCCATCACAYGAATACTTCATGAACTGTTCGCAAGGGTCGGCACTTTTGTTCATGTCTTGAATAAGTATAGATGCAACCTTAAGGCACTGAGAGGTATAACAAACATTTTCCGGCGATTTTTCAATTGCTTCTTTGGATTTTTCCCCGGATTTTAACACAAGAGCGATTCCAAGGCATATGCAGGTAATTCCTAAGATAACTATAGCTCCAACAAGAATCCATTGGATTAGTTTTCTGTTTTTGCCAAATGAAATCTTCTTTGCCTTCGCTGCGACAACACTGTCACTGCTGTACGTCATGCCACCATTTTCCATGACGTCTTGGGTTAGTTCTGTAAAGTTGCAAGATCCTGTGGATGACATTTTGGATTGCATTT